GGTCTTCCCAGGGTCCTCCCTCCTCTCCCACCCTCGCCTGCTCCTCCCTGCCTTCCCTGTGTCGAGGGGCGGCAGCGCGCCGCTCCTCACTCCTCCTCGTTTCCCCCGACGACTGCTCCTTTGCAGACGCTCCACATGGACGTGTGGGGCCCAGCCCGCGTCCGTGGTCAGGGTCAGGAGAGGTACTTCCTGATCGTTGTTGACGACTAATCGCGCTACACCACGGTCTTCCCCTTGCGCACCAAGGGTGAGGTCCCTGATGTTTTGATCCCTTGGATCCGCAGAGCTCGTCTCCAGGTGCTGCTGTCGTAGACCCCCTCCCCCCTCAGGGTGCCGCTCCCTCAGGTATGTCTCAGGTAGACCCGGTCGAGCCTGTTGAGGTTGCTGTCAACTCTCGTCCTGCTGGGGGTGCTGAGCCTGGGGGTTCGGACACTGGGGGTGCTGAGCCTGGGGGTGCTGAGCCTGGGGGTACGGTGACTGGGGGTGCTGAGCCTGGCGGTGCTGCGCCAGGGGGGTCCTACGCCTGGACGAGACCTCTCCTTGGAGCAGTTGCGTGAGTGGTACTTACAGTACTGCAGCCTCCGGAGAGGTACCTCTGGGACCGGGCGCGCTACGGAGACTGGTGCTGGTACTTCTCCTTCTAGTCGGGAGCTCCCCTCTCGTGAGCGGATCCGTGAGTGGTACGAGCGCCGTTGCACACTTCGTAGTGGCGCGCCTCGTCTCACGGACCCTGTTGCTGCTGGTGCTGCGGACCCGCGCGTTGGAGCTGCTGCTGGTACTGCGGACCCGAGCGTTGGAGCTACTGCTAGTGCTGAGGACCCGGGCGTTGGAGCTGCTGCTGGTACTGCGGACCCGGGCGTTGGAGCTGCTGCTGGTGCTGCGGACCCGGGCGTTGGAGCTGCTGCTGGTGCTGCGGACCCGGGCGTTGGAGCTGCTGCTGGAGCTGAGGACCCGGGTGTTGGAGCTGCTGCTCGTGCTGAGGACCTGGGCGTTGGAGCTGCTGCTGGTACTGCGGACCCGGGGGTTAGAGCTGCTTCTGGTGCTGCGGACCCGGATGTTGGAGCTGCGGCTGGTGCTGAGGACCCGGGCGTTGGAGCTGCGACTGGTGCTGACGACCCTGGTGTTGGAGTCCCTGCTGGTACTGCGGACTCGGGCGTTGGTACTGCCGCTGGGGGCATTGGTACTGTCCCTGCCGTGTCTGGAGTCGCCGCGCGCCCTCAGCCGTACTTCGTTCCGCTCCTTCAGCAGGTTCTTGGTCTCTCGCCTCCTCCTGGTCCTCCCCCTCCTTTAGTGTGTCCACAGCCTGTTCAGTCACTGCCTACTCCTTCTCTTTACTTTGGTCCTACTAACGGTCTTACTGAGCGTCGTGAGCCTGCGTCTCGCCCTGCGTCGCCTGTCCGTCCTGCTAGCACTAGTGCTCGTAGTTCGCGTCCGCGTCCTCCTCCTGCCCTTGGCACGCACCGGATGTCTCTGCGTCCTTCCACTGCTCCTCTGCGTGCCCCTTTGCCTTCTCCTCCTGCTTCCTCTCTTCCTGCTCTTGCCGACCCGGAGTCGGACTCTCTTCGTGCTGCCAGTCCTACTGTCACGCGTCTCCTTGCTACTGCAGTCACTGACCCTTCTTTCGGGTCTTCTGCTGCGTCTCCCCTAGTTGCTGAGCTCGTCGACTTTGCTGATCGCTGTCGTCTAGACTACGCTGCTAGTCTTGTCGCTGAGTCTGAGTCTGTCTGTCCTCCGTCCGTCGGGGGTGCGTGTGCCCTTGGCACGGACGTCCTTGAGGACAAGCAGGAGGAGTTTCAGTGCTTGGCTACCGCTTCACCTCATCTCGCGTCTGTACTGCTAGCCCCTGAGGGAGACCCGGATGCACTAGACATCCCGACTCCGCGCTCTTACGCGGAGGCGATAGAGGGTCCCTACTCCTCTCAGTGGCAGGCAGCTATGGATGCAGAGATGGCTTCCTGGAAGTCCACAGGCACCTACGTTGACGCTTTTCCCCCTCCTGGGGCGAACATCATCAGTGGCATGTGGATCTTCAGGGTGAAGCGGCCGCCGGGTTCTCCGCCTGTCTTCAAGGCGCGTTACGTGGCTCGTGGCTTCTGTCAGCGGCAGGGAGCTGACTACTTTCAGACCTTCTCCCCCACCCCGAAGATGACCACTCTTCGGGTACTGCTGCACGTTGCTGCTCACCGGGACTACGAGCTTCACTCTCTCGACTTCAGCACAGCTTTCTTGCAGGGCAGCCTGCACGAGGAGATCTGGCCGTGTCGCCCACCTGGCTTCACTGGGTCTTTCCCTCCTAGTACCCAATGGAGTCTCCGGCGTCCAGTCTACGGTCTCCGCCACGCGCCGCGTGAGTGGCACGACACACTGAGGACTACGCTGGCGGCACTTGGGTTTGCTCCTTCTACTGCCGACCCGTCGCTGTTTCTACGCACCGACACTTCTCTGCCGCCGTTCTACATCCTCGTGTACGTCGACGACTTGGTCTTTGCCACTGCTGACACTACTGGACTCGCCTACGTGAAGTCCGAGCTGCAGAAGAGACACACGTGCACTGACCTGGGTGAACTGCGCAGCTACCTTGGCTTGCAGATCACCCGAGACAGAGCACGCCGCACCATTACCCTGACTCAGTCACACATGGTGCAGCAGGTCCTTCAGCGCTTCGGCTTCACGTACTCCTCGCCTCAGGCCACTCCTCTGTCTACTCGCCACTCGCTCTCAGCTCTGCCTTCGGATGAGTCCGTAGAGTCGAGTGGCCTGTACCCAGAGCTTGTTGGCTGTCTCATGTACCTGATGACCTGCACACGACCTGACCTTGCATACCCTCTTAGCATTCTTGCGCGCTATGTTGCTCCTGGGATACACCGACCAGAGCACATGGCTGCAGCGAAGAGGGTGTTGCGCTACTTGTGCAGTACGTCAGGCATGGGACTAGTGCTTGGAGGGCGGAGTCCAGTGGTCCTCACTGGTCACGCAGACGCTTCTTGGGTTGACGACCAGGCTACGCAGCGGTCGTCACAGGGTTACACCTTCAGCCTTGGTTCCGGCTCTGTTTCGTGGCGGGCTACTCGCTCGTCTTCTGTTCTCGGCTCCAGTTGTGAGGCTGTGATCTACGCAGGGGCCATGGCTGCTCAGGAGCTTCGCTGGCTCACCTACCTGCTGACCGACCTTGGAGAGCCGCCTCGTTCTCCTCCAGTCCTGTACGTCGACAACAAGGCCATGCTGGCCTTGTGTCGAGAGCAGAGACTGGAGCACAGAACAAAGCACATTGCTCTCCGCTATTTCCTTGCTCGTGAGCTACAGCAGCGTGGTCAGTTGCGACTTGCGTACGTGGCCTCTGAGGCCAACACTGCTGATGTTTTCACCAAGGCACTTCCGCCTTGTGATCATCAGCGCTGCTGTACCCAGCTGGGTCTTGTTTCTGTCTTGCCTCACTTGCTCTCCTCTTGACCCTCTTTGTACTGTTACATATATATATCATTGCTCTTGCTTGTTTAGTCTTATATATATATGTACTCCTGCATGTGAACTGGCCTTGTGGCCTTGAACTTGTGCTCGGATTGTGTGGTGACATTGTGATCCACCCTGATCTTGCTTTGCTTTGCTTTGCTTTACTTGACTGGTCTTGTGACCCCTAGTTCTCCCCCACTTCGCCTATGGGGGTGTGTCAAACATTATATATTGTTGTAGTTGTTTAGGCTATAGTGTTTTAGCCTATAGGGGGTACACACTTCTAGGTTTCCATATTTGTACTCATTTCATTCTTAGTCATTTCATTCCTTGTTCAACACCGACTTCGTGCACGTTACCTTGCACGATTCCGGGTAATCCGTGTGCATACATGGATGGCCACACGTTGATTGTTTTCCCCGCCGAGTCGACCATATCTATACTCGTATGAGAAGCACGCTTCAACCCCGCTAGCACCTCGTTCATGATATAATGGAAGATCCGCGTCCTATCTAGGGAATCATACTCTTCGGGATACTCCGGGAGCAAGGCAAGCAAGACGTGCCCATAGGGCTTCCACCTATCGTCCTTGTCAATATTTCCTAGTGTGAAATATACGGGATGCCCTTTAGCCTTCCCACGCTGATCCATATGGGTCTCATCACTTGCAAGAATGAGAGCAGCGACAACACCTTCCGGGTTGACTTCATGTATATTCTTTTGAAGCTCCTCCCACCATAGCGCGGTTTCGGGTGTTGAGTAAACTCGCATGGTGCCATCTTTAACGACGCGAGCCTCCATGCTCATCATTGGAGCGAGCTTGGGGTCCTTAAGTAGATCCTGAAGAGCGACCAGTCCATCGCAGTACCAATATTCGAGCCACGCCTTGTTCCCCGCTCGAACGGTTTTGCGTCTCCACCCGCGATGCTTATCTGGGGCCCGTGATTCGACGTACTGTTGGACATCGCGCGCAGACTTCCATCCTGTCAGCTGAGAGAGCTCAAATGCATGGTGGAAGAGAATGTCAAACAAGGCTTTGATCGCTTTTTGGGAGATATTGTTGGCTAGCAACCAATTCGCGAATGCATCCCTGCCGTTGAAGGGTGTTTCGGGCGACGTTGCAGCTCCTACGTTATCAGGCAACACGTTCCCATCACTTCCCTCCTGGATGTCGTCCCGCACGATATAATCATCTGCATCACATGGTAAACTTGCATTCTCGGAATCACTAGAACTGACGTTGCTAGAAGCACTATCATCCAAATGCACCCCTGTCAGAAAATCAGCCCCGGTACATGGCACTGGAAAAGCATGTAGATGTTCGTGAAGAGGGGCTGTCATGGGCACGGCTGAAGTCGAAGCAACTGCAGTGGGAATAGGATTGGGTGCTACGGTGGGTACGCGAGGGCGTTTATGCAACCCAGGGTTACTTGTGAAGTACGGCGTAGGTGTCATTGCGCGCTTTGCAGGGCAGCTTGAGCTACGCATGTGACTCTCCATGCCCTGTTGGGTCAAGAAGGTGTTGACCTTGCAGGCAGGGCAGCGGTAGCTCATCTGAATGAATGGGGCAGAGAGGGAGTGAATGGGGCAGAGCGTGAGTGAATGGGGTAGAGAGGGAGTGAATGGGGCAGAGCGTGAGTGAATGGGGTAGAGAGGGAGTGAATGGGGCAGAGCGTGAGTGCATGGGGCAAAGGAGGAGGGAATGGGTCAGAGAGGGACTGACTGGGGCAGAGAGGGAGTGAATGGGGCAACGAGGGAGTGAATGGGGCAGAGAGGAAGTGAATGGGGCAGAGAGGAAGTGAATGGGGCAGAGCGTGAGTGCACGGGGCAAAGGAGGAGGGAATGGGTCAGAGAGGGATTGACTGGGGCAGAGAGGGAGTGAATGGGGCAACGAGGGAGTGAATGGGGCAGAGCGTGAGTGCACGGGGCAAAGGAGGAGGGAATGGGTCAGAGAGGGACTGAATGGGGCAGAGAGGGAGTGAATGGGGCAACGAGGGAGTGAATGGGGCAGAGAGGAAGTGAATGGGGCAGAGAGGAAGTGAATGGGGCAGCGAAGGAGTGAATGGGGCAGAGAGGGAGTGAATGGGGCAGAGAGGGCGTGAGACGGGCAGAGTGGGAGTGAATGGGACAGAGAGGGCGTGCATGGGGCAAGATAGGAAATTAGGAGAGGTGGGGGGGGGGGGGGGGGGTTGTTGTTTAGAGATACCTTGACGAATTACACAGGGAATAGAACAACTCTTCGCTCCACGAGGAGTGTTCGGTGTGTCACCACTGCTCCAACAGGCAGCCCTCTCCTACGGGGAACTGGCCAGGGAGATGAGGGAAAAGGGTGTGACAGAGCAAGTGGGGCCGTCAGAGAGCCAGAGCGGCAATGAGCGAGGATGCGAGAGTGGCAGAGAGAGGTAGCGTGAGAGTGGCAGGGAGAGAGAGAGAGAGAGAATGCGGCAGAGCGAGAGAGAGAATGCGGCAGGGCGAGAGAGATAATGCGGCAGAGCGAGAGAGAGAGAGAGAGAGAGAGAGAGAGAGAATGCGGAAGAGCGAGAGTGAGCGAATGCGGCAGAGCGAGAGAGAGAATGCGGCAGGGTGTGAGAGAGAATGCGGCAAAGCGCGCGCGCGCGCGCGAGAGAGAGAGAGAGAGAGAGAGAGAGAGAGAGAGAGAGAGAGAGAGAGAGAGAGAGAGAGAGAGAGAGAGAGAGAGAGAGAATGCGGCAGGGCGAGAGAGAGAATGCGGCAGGGCGTGAGAGAGAATGCGGCAGAGCGCGCGCGCACGCGAGAGAGAGAGAGAGAGAGAGAGAGAGAGAGAGAGAGAGAGAGAGAGAGAGAGAGAGAGAGAGAGAGAGAGAGAGAGAGAGAGAGAGAGAGAGAGAGAGAATGCGGCAGGGCGAGAGAGAGAATGCGGCAGGGCGAGAAAGAGAATGCGGCAGAGCGAGAGAGAGAGAATGCGGAAGAGCGAGAGTGAGCGAATGCGGCAGAGCGAGAGAGAGAGAATGCGGCAGGGCGTGAGAGAGAATGCGGCAGAGCGAGAGTGAGCAAATGCGGCAGAGCGAGAGAGAGAATGCGGCAGGGCGAGAGAGAGAATGCGGCAGGGCGAGAGAGAGAATGCGGCAGAGCAAGAGAGAAAGAATGCGGAAGAGCGAGAGTGAGCGAATGCGTCAGAGCGAGAGAGAGAATGCGGCAGGGCGTGAGAGAGAATGCGGCAGAGCGCGTGCGCGAGAGAGAGAGAGAGAGAGAGAGAGAGAGAGAGAGAGAGAGAGAGAGAGAGAGAGAGAGAGAGAGAGAGAGAGAGAGAGAGAGAGAGAGAGAGAGACAAGAGATAGGGTTATTGTTTTGCGGTGGTCGAGCCCTTCCTGGAGCTCTAGAGGATGTAGTCGGTAGGACTTGTTGCTTTGCTTGTTTGTTACCTGGGTCTCTATAACTGGCGCGCTTGTACTTTGCTACTAAATCAATACAAGGACCATTAGGGAGAGAGAGAGAGAGAAGTGGGGGGGGGGGGGGGGGGGGGGAGTAGGAGGGGAGGGTAGAAGTGGGTGTTCCCTTGGTCTTATGCTCTGTAGGTTTTGTTTGCTTGTCTTTGTTTTCTCGTCTACGTGCTAGATGTGCCCTTCCCTAGAATCTGCATCTCTGTACCAGCCCCTACTATCAATACAAAAGACCATTAGATAGAGAGAGAGAGAGAGAGAGAGAGAGAGAGAGAGAGAGAGAGAGAGAGAGAGAGAGAGAGAGAGAGAGAGAGAGAGAGAGAGAGAGGCCCTAGGAGCTAGTCCTTAGCCTCTCCAGCACTCTTCAGCCTAGTATATAGTGCTCCTCTGCAGCTAGTTCTCTTCATTGTTCCGTTTTCTTCTCAGTTGTTTCTCCTAACCGAGCGGCTCGCGCCGGCCGCCTTCGGCGGCCGACGCTCGACAGCGCGGCCTTCGGCCGCGCGTGAGGGAACGACAAGCACACAACACACAGAGTTACTAACAAGAGGCATACAAACATGTCAAGCCGTACAGCGGCCTAGCCGCGCAAACCACTAATGGCAGAGCCGGAGCCCGCGCCTACATGCGGTGAGCTCCAAGGGCGTGAAGAACGCCCGTCAGGGAGCGCCACAGCTCCCAGACCACAAGCGTGCTTGCGCCGATCGCCGCGGCTCCAGATCCTGCGTGCAAGTGTCGCCGCAGTGCACGGACAGCCTCACCAAGCTGTCCCGCGGCAGCAGCGCCTCCCTCCGCGGGCGCAGCCAGCACGGGCGCCAGCAGCTCCGCGAGCTGGTCAGCTGCGTCGAGGCACGGGTCACGCAGGTGGCTGCGAAAGGACTCGGGCGGGACAGCAGGGAGAGACGAGTGCGCAAGCACTTGAATCAGAAGCAGAGCATGCAGGCTCTCCGCAAGACGGTGAAGCTGACCAAGTGTTGTCTCAGGAACGCGCGTCTGCGGAGGCAGCAGAGCCGCCGTCAGGAACCGGAGAGACTCATCAGCTGCGTACGGAGCCGCAGCCGCGCCACTACCCGTCGCCACGAACTCTACCCCTGCGACAGGCGGAACAGGTGGCAGATGCAGGCGGGAGCCGGTCGCCAGCACCGCAACAGAAGGAGAAGGAACGGACGAGGCAGGGACAAGAGGAGGAGGAACAACAGCCGGCGGAGGGGCTACAGGATGCACAGGCGAACGAGGAGCAACGGGCTCCGGAGCAACTTGCCGCGAACTGCTCTGGCTCGGCGCTGCCCTCCCCTGACGTACGGCGCGCGACACCTCCCGCGACACCTCGCGCTGGAGGTCCGCCAGCGTCACGGGCGGCCGATACCGCCCGCCCCCACCGCGCCCCGGGGGGCCCCGCCACCCCCCACTGCCACCTGGGTGCGTTGGCCACTGGGCCTGCTGCTGGTAGCGCCGGGGGGAGTTCCGCCGGCGCCGAGACGTTTCGCGCTCCTGCTGGGGCGCTGGAGAATGGGGCCGGGACAAGCGGCGGTCAGGCGACGGGGGGCGAGACGACTGCACCCCAGGGGCCGCCGGCGGCTGAGCGGGAGCCGCCGGGTCGGCGCCTGGAGGAGCATCCATCGGAGCAGGGTCGTCAGTGGTGGCGGACGCCGCCTTTGGGGAAGAAGCAGACACAGGCACAGGCACGCCGGGGACCGAAGCAGACGGCACAACGAGTGCGCGAACAACGGGACCGGAGCGAGCAGCTGCTTCCCCAACAGGCGCGGACACTACCGGTGGAACCGCAGGAGCCAGGTGCGCTAGAGCAGGAGCAGCAGACGGGACAGGCGGAGCCTCAGCAGGAGCAGACGGGCCAGCCGCCCCCCCCCCCCTGGGGAGCCACGGGTGCGGGGGGATGAATCTTTTCAGCGTCTGCTAACGAGGGCTTCGGAGCCGGCGGTAGAGGAGGTTTCAAGGCAGTGGTCGCCCTTTCGGGCTCCGACTGAGGCCTGGCGACGACAGCCGACCAGGCGGCAGCGAGCTCTGGCGACGGCTCGTCAGCACCAGGAATCACCATCTCAAGCGCGGGGAGGTCGAGGGACGGAACGGCAAACGGCAAGCGGGGTTGGCGGAGGCCCGGAGAATGGTTACCAGGCAGCGGCTAGAGTGGCTTTAACCAATTTGACTACAGCGAACGATGAAGACGAGCGGCAGGATCCTTCTTATATAGAAGAGGCAGCACCAGCTAGCGAGGGCGAAGAGACAGAGGAAGAGGAAGGCAGGGCGAGAAGGAACACTAGCGGATTGACTGTAGTGGGGGAGCAAGCACGCTTGGACACGCCCCAGGAGACACGCCCACCGCTCGATGCAGAACGGACGGAGGGGATTCCAACCTCCGCTCCCAGGGCACGAGGGAATCGCCCAAGAGGAAATCGGCCAGCAGACATAGGGACTGCAACACGCCCAGCCGCTTCGGTCCCCCGCTATTTTTCGCCAGACGACCTCGCGAAGCGGGTAGACCTGTTCGCTGCAATCAGTATTTGGGATATCACGGCCCTGTGCGACAGTCGCCAGCCTTCACTGTCGCGGCGCTTACCGCCGAATTTGTGTCAGCTGTTCTCACTGGCGATGTTGACGCCGTTACTACACCTCTCACGAAACCCCGAGTCAGAGGCAGGATGGCGCCTGCTGCTATTTCTCCCGCGCCTAACCCTTCGCCAGACCTCGCCTCGCCGTCCGGATTGGACCAAAATCAAAGCTCGTCTCCGAGCCTTCCAGCGTGGCGAATGGGAGCAATTGTACCAGGACGCGGTCGACGCGGTCAACATGCCACCTCTGCCCCGCCACCGTCCCGACGCGACAGGTGTGATCAGCCGGGCTGAGTGTCTAGCGAAACGTGGCAGCCTTCGAAGGGCCGTACTCGCCCTTGAGTCAACCCCCGTCTGCACTCCCAGCCCCGAAATTTTGGAAGAGCTGCGTCAGAAACACCCTCCAGCAGCGAGCGAAGGGGTGACCTGGCCAACCACGAGTGAGTCAACACTTTCAATCGCCCACGCGGAATTCGCCAAGATGTTGGGCAGATGCGAAAATGGAGTTGGAGCGGGGCCTTCTGGGATGACATTTGAGCACTTGCGCGACGCGTCAATCACAAACGCGTCGGTCCGAACCCATCTGCACGCCTTGGTTAACACCATCCTGGGTGGAAATCTGCCAGGCCCGGTGGCGACCCTCCTGACCGCATCGCGGCTTATTGCTCTGGCCAAGCCGGGAGGAGGCGCTCGGCCAATCGCGATCGGCGAGTGTTTGACCAGGCTGGCAGCCAAGGCTGCCCTGATGGTGATGGGCGAAGCTGCCCGCGATTTCTTCCTCCCCCTTCAGTATGGGGTGGCAGTGCCAGGTGGCGCCGAAACCGTAATCCACGCGGCCAGAGCCTTCCTGGATTCCCACCCTAACAGCCTGGTATTGCAAGCGGACATCAAAAACGCTTTCAACAGTATTTCGCGACAGGCCATCGCCACTGCGTTACACGCCCCCGAACTCTCGCCACTGCTGCCGCTCGTCAAACTAACCTACGGTAACCCGTCGCAGCTGTTCCTGGATTCCAACTACAACTCGGAACCACTGCACAGCGAACGCGGGGTTCGCCAGGGGGACCCACTTGGGCCGCTACTGTTTGCAGCGGGGATTCATGCTACACTACGCGACACTGCAGATGCCCACGCTGGGGTACTTTGCTTGGCGTATGCGGACGACGTGACTTTCATAGGGGACTTTGAAGACACTGTAGCAGCATTTACACATGTCACGAGCAAGCTGTCGTTCCTGGGACTTGAGCACAACCCACACAAGTGCGCCGCCTGGAATTCGAGCGCAGTCCAAGCAGCACACCTACCTCAAGGGGTCCCCCTAACCAAGGACGGCGTGCAATTACTTGGCAGCTTCATAGGGCCTGATAGCGGCGCGACGACATTTCTAACAAGGCAGCTTGACGAGATGGCAAAGCCGCTAAGACTCATCGAACAGACAGACCCACAGGTTGCGGCACTTCTCATCACTCGCTGCATTTCGAGACGGGTCGCATACCTCACACGGACCACTCCTCTCAACCTCCTGCCCCGTGAAAGATGGAGCCAGTGGGGTATGGACCTGCTCACCACGCTCCTCATTGCTTGTGACATCCGCACGCCGACCTGTAGGACGGAGCAGACGCGCATCTGGGAGCAGGCGTCGTTACCCCCATCACTAGGAGGCCTCGGTATCACTAATCCCCTCGTCGAAGGGGTTTACGGCTTCGCGGCGAGTTTTACCCAGGCAGCGCTATTCCTCAACGAACTCACGCTGGAAGAGGGGACCGCGCTCTCGTTGGCAAGGAATCATATGCTCCTCCCGCGCGACGTCAGCACTCCACTACACACATGGCTGAGGGGTTGTGAAGCCGCACTGCCAACAGACGCGCTGGAGGTTTTAGAGAAGGAGCGGCTGGAGCGTTCTGACATTCGGCTCCAGCACGTGCTCGGACTGAAGGTGCACGGGAGCCGGTATGCCGTACAGGTGCAGGCGACGAGGCGAATGGAGTTGAACCCGCTAGCCGGACACACGCAGCGGATGTACTCCTTGACTGGATATGGCACCGGCGACTGGATTACGGCCATCCCAGTGGCTCCCACAAGGCGGATTGGGCCGGTGCATTTCGCCAATGCAGTACGCTTCCGCCTCGCGTTGCCGTTTTCCACCCCTAAAAACTGCGACTGCTCAGAGCACACGTCCATCACTGACCCCCGGCTCCCAAACCATCTTCTCCGGTGCGGCACGGGCAAGCACCGCACTAACACCCACAATGAGCTGCGGGACGCATGCGTAAGCATGGCGCAGGATGCGGGCTTTATAGTACACAGGGAGTCAACGGCCTACTGCCCCATCGAGGAACAAACAGCTGATTTCACAATGTCGGACAGAAGCAGTGGAGCGGTCTACATCTGTGACGTCACGGTCACTGACCCAATAAGCACTAGGGATCCGGAGGCTCAGAAAGGCAGAGGGTGGGCGGCACGTGAGCAGGCCGACAAGAAGATCAAGCACTATGCCAACCACCCGGAGACCGTTGGCTTCTTCTCCCTCGCAGTGGACACCTACGGCTGCCCGTGTGCTGAGGTTCCCGTATTCCTCAAGCTCCTGGCAGAATCGGCGGCTCGGCGTCACTTCAACGCCGACTCCAAATCTTTCTATGCCGCCAAGTTCTTGCATCAGTTCCGGCAGCGTTG